TCCGCCCCCACCACCACCTTGCTGCCTCTATGAGACAGAGACAGCAAAGGGGGAGGGGAAAAGAGTATTTCAAAGCAGCAGTACCACACAGCTGAGCCAGGGATTAGCTGTGTGGCACTGCCGCTTTGAAACCCCAAGGCTGCATTTCCCCAGAACCTGGGGTCAGCTGAGGAGTCCCCAGCTGACCCCGGGTTCCACACAGCATGAAGCGCAGCACAGAGTCTGAAGTCAGTAGGGGACTCTGAGTCCCCTGTTGACAATGGGCTCCATGGCTTTGAAATGCACAAGAACCCCTTCTGGAGACTCTTGTAGATTTGAAAGCAGGCACCCGCATGCAGCCTGGAGTCAGTGGGACTTCCAGCAGGGGCTCTTCCGCATTTCAAAGGAGGAATGCGGAAGTGCCTATCAACTAATCGAGTAGTCGATGGAAATTCCATCGACTACTTGACTAGTCAATTAACCACAATTTAACATCCCTAGTCAAGAGTATTGGGATGTGATTAAACCCCTAAAATGAGGATGCGGAACCTTTTTTGGGTCAGGGGCTGCTGACCCACAGAAAAAAATCAGCCAGGGGCCAAACACAAGTGAGAAGCAAAAGAAAAAAACGCCACCCTCATTGATGTGGCCCCCAACTGAGAAGGAGAAAGATACTCCCCACATACCCCATGCACACCAGAGCCTGCGGGGGGCAGCCTAATAGATTTTGTGTGTTCCAGCCCCACATGAGAGAGCAGAGGGCTGGAGTGCCTGTGTGAGCTCCCCAATGCTAGTGGGAGTGGGGTGCTGAGCCTCAAGGGACAGTTCCAGGCAAGCCAGGTGCCACATCCAGCCCCAGGCCTGAGATTCCTTACCTCTGCTCTAAAACATTAATGATGGTTGTTTACTATGAGAGTTGATTCTACTATCAGAATGAATACATTATGGACATTATTTAATAGATGTGTGTCATCTTTCAAACAGTCATATTAAAATAGTTTACAGAACTCACGAAGGTTTCTTCTCCATGAATTTTTGGAGGGAAGTGGGAAGACATGGAAGCGAATTCCTTTCTCTCAGTATGTAACTACAAATCTGTGACTGGTATAATTAACATGAACATTTATTTTGCCTCTGAATTTGGATCCAAACTGATGTATTTTTACCACTAACAGGATACATTCTCACTATGTAGAGAACAGTCTTTAAATGTATTTCTTCCAGTTATCATGACTATGAATCACCTCCAATTCAAGTGACTTTATTAGAACATTTTTTCTAGGACCAATTAGATGGGCATTTCCCCTATAAACATCACACTCTGTTTCTTTATTCTAACTAAAAATTACAAGAAAAATAGTACAGTTGGCATGCCTATCCTGACACCAATATCCAGAACAGTCTACTATTTTGTTTCCACTATCATTTGCCTGTTCCCCATACTAACAAAGAAGGAAATGAGTAGTATACCAAAATCAGTGGTTCTCAATATTTTATATTGGTGACCCTATCAAACAGCAAGCCTCCGAGTGCAGCTCCAGTTATACATTAAAAAACACGTTTTTATATTTAATATTATTATACATGCTTAAGATGAAGAGGGGCTTTGGGTGGAGGATGACACCTCATGTAATAATCTTGTTGCCCGTGAGGGGTCACAACCCTCAGTTTAAGAACACTTGCTATAGATGCAATAGTTACTAAATTATTTCTGTTAAGTAACAGCAAGGAATAAAAACAATAATTTTTAATAAGATGAGTCAGATTCAGCAGTAATGCTGTACCTTCCATATGATATTTAGACCACTGAAGGAATTATAAAGTAATAATAGAATTCTATATACCATAATATGAAATTTTAGTGTTCTTCTGTCGATTTTGCTGATTCAAAGATTCATAATTATGCAGCCAGAAGGACTATTGTGATTTTCTAGTCTGACCTCCTGTGTAACAAAGATCTCTGAATTAATGCCTGTTGGAATGTTTTTCTAGAAGACATGCTCTGGGGTTTACTCTTGATTTAAAGACTGCCAATGGTGAAGAATCCACACTGACCCTTATTAAGTTGTTCTCATGGTTAATTACCCTTATTGTTAAACAGTTGTGCCTTATTTTTAGCCTGAACCTTTCTAGCCTCAATTTCCTGCTACCGGACCTTGTTATATCTTTATTTGCTACATTAATAATAAAGATCTTGTCTGTTTCCAAATGGCTGGGAATTTCCGCCACTGTCTTTACCTGCACCTCTGCAGGTACGAGCGCCTGAAGCTCCCATTGGCTACAGATCATCATTCACAGCCAATGAGAGCTTTGGGAAGAGGTGTGTCAGGCTGTACCACTTCTCCCAGCTCCCATTGGCTAGGAATAGCAATCCACGGCCAATGGGAGCTTAAAGCGCCCGTCCCCGCGGAGATGTAGGTAAAGACAGTGGTGACGACCTGCCAACGGCTAATTCTGGCAAACCACTGCTTATTGCCCATCCTGACTTGGACTGATCCAGTTACCCCTTAAAACTCCCTCTTTTCCAATAGGACTTTCATTGATAACAGCATCTTAAACAACAGATTTTCAGTGGCTGCCTTGTTCCCCGAGCACTAACTACCGAAACAGTTCTTTCTTCCTGTTGAAACTGTCACTATGGCAATTATGTTTGTCAGAATTTGTTATATTATAAATAGGAGAAAGGTAACATAGGTTTATAAAGGCCACAACATAGACAAAAGTGAATTCCATCAATTGAGAATTAGTTAACTTGAATTACCATTAAGCAAAAGTTCAAATATTGGGCCCAATTATGATCTGAAGTATATGAGTAAATTCTAAGCAATGCGAATAAAAGCAATATGAAATAAATCAGTATCAGAATCTAGTCCACAATACTTAATGCTAAGGATATATCCTGCAGTGCAGCCTAGTCACAAAGTGCAAGTGTGATGGAAACTAACAAACTAAAATTACTTTGTAAGAGAAAAATGTTCAAGTGACCAATTTTATATGTGAGCTTGAAATTTCTACTAAGGTGAAGAAATCTGAACATCATATAGAAGAAAAGATGTATATATACATAATTACTTTCTTTAAAAAAATCCACATAATATATTTCTTACTGTTATGCTCTGATGTTCAATTCTCAGTTTTTCCACTCCTGCACCATACAGCTCCCTTAACAAACACATTATCCTCGTCTTTTTTCCAGCTCCAGATGGTCCATACACTAACAGATGAGGGAAGTCACCACATTGAACCTGCAAACAGGGCAGTAAAACTAATTTTAGCAATGTTTCCCCTATGCTAGGAAATTTACACATTGTATCAGATGAAAACTTCCCTTATGACATTACTATTAAATACTTTTTCCTCGCATAATTCTACAGTACATCAATTTAAAATACAGCAAAGAATGAGTGGCTCCTTGAATGTCTTTTTTCCAGATATACATCCATCACATATGCTGTGTGCCTCTGAAAATTAACAAAACAAACCATCATCTTTATTTTGAAAAAAACTGAAGTACTTTCAGGTATTACATTTGCTCCTGAGACACTTGCCAATTTTTGTGGTTACACAATCATTTCCATCTTTTTAAAAAGATGTTTCTGTCGTGCTTGTTGCCATGTGAACAGCTCTCACAAATGGAGACTGAAACAATGAAGCTACCCACAGAATAACTAAAAACAGAGAAAACTACAGTAATTACTCGTTTAACACATGCTCGCTTAACACATTTTTCGCAATAGCATGATTTTTCTTAGGGAATGTTTTTCAAATAACACAACCATCCCCGAAATAACATGAAAATAATCAAGTGGCGGAGTACTTCGTGTGCGGTATAAGTTGGTGAAAACAGTGGTAATACACATGAGCGGATGAATACACATGGTCACAGCACTCCTCCTCTCACTCACGTGTTTATCTTTATGTTTTAACAAACTGGCGACTTGGTGTTGCTAGATATCTTGTGTTGCTAGATATCTAATGTTGATGACCCAGCACCAACAAAAAATTGACTTTGCCACTACCACTTGAAACGCAACCCCCACCTTTTCCATTATTTTTAATGGGAAAATTGAACCCACATAGCACATTTTCGCTTAGCACAAACATTTTCAGAAATGCATCTATAATGTTAAATGAGGAATTACTGTATATCTCTGCTCTCTTTCAGCTACAGTATTACTTGTAACACTATAGTCATACAAAATCATAACTTTAAGATAGTGTCTCTAAAATAAAACCAATTTTTGTTTCTCAAAGGGGTAGTAGCTGGTTTAAAAACATATTTCACTAAGACCTAACTTCAAAGTTAGTTTTATAGTTAGTTATACCAAGAATTGCAGAATGCAAAGAGAAGATCTTCTAGTCCTTAGACAATCTAGATAAGACCCAGGACAACTGGGGGCTTGAACGAATATTCAGTTTTGTGCCCATGGGTTTTATTCCCATATTTGACTTTAAACCCTGGACCAAATCATTTATGATCTGATAGTTTCAGAAATGCTAAACACCAACAGCTTCCATAAAAATCAGTGGATGAGGTGGATGCTCTGTGTTTCTGAAAATCATGCTAATAAATCTACCCTTTCCTCTTTTCCCACCGTCTGCTTAATGGTAATAGTGATGGTGTGAGGCTTAATTCAGCAATGTATATCAAATACTTGCAAACCTTTGCATGGAGTGTATTCTACAGAAGGGAGAAGTTTTGGTTTTCCCCTTGACTTGTCTTCACTGCAAATTAGCTTGAATTACTACATGAGTTGTTAGCCTAGCTCAAGTGACGGTATGTATTTACTACAGAGCCTATGTTAGCATGTCAGATGCAGACGCAGCCTATACCAACAGAAGGAGGTCAATGTAAGAACATAAGTTCCATGAACAGTGTTATGCATGTTGACAGAACCCTCTTCCATTGACATAGGTACACTGGAGGTTTTGTTGGCAAAGCTACTGTAGTAATATGAGGGCCTAAAACAAAAGCCCATGTAGCACAGGCCTAGTGTGAGGCCTGAGGTCTAGCTAAACAATGGACAAAACATGGCTAACATAAAGCAAAGCTAAGTTGTGAGCAAGAGGCAGACCCCTGCTCGTAGAACTTGGTACAAACAGGGCTGAAAGTGCAAAACACTAATTGGTGATAGGCCCAAGTGTAGAGGCCAGGTGTAGAACAGTAATTGGTATTGGTTATAAATTGAAAGCACATGGTACCACTAGCTCATTAAAAAATACCTTAGTGCCCACACTCCCCACAGATACTGACCCAGGTTCAGGAAAGGGTCTAAAATGACAGCATGATGGATGGAGATGGTCATATCTTTGACCAATGTAGCTATGCTGACATAACTTAAGTGTAGCCCAAGCCTGAGAGTGACCATACTGTGAAAGAACATTCAGACTACCAGAGCAATCTGATCGGAATGGTGACCCGAGGTGCAGCTTCATTGGCTAAACACCTGATGAGTTGTAACTGGCTGCTCATCCCCCCTGCGCTACTAGAGAAACATGAAACACCCACTCCCTTTCCATGCCACCCACACCAGACAAGCCAGTTAAAACTCAAGCTAAAGATGATGGTGTAGAAAGTAGGGATGTGACAGTATAGACCTGTAAACAGTTAACTGATGAGCCTGGCCTCATCCATTATTCATGGTTACAAGCAGCCCCTGCCTTGCTACCTCTGTATCAGAGGCAACAGTGTGGGGCGGGGGACAAGTGGGAGCTGGTGCTCAAAGGGAGCCGGCTGCCACCGGCCCCCTCCCCCGCATGCTGCCTCTGGCCAGGGGCTGGATCCGGGGGGGGGGAGGAGCGGGGGCCGCGGTGTATAGGCAAAAAGTGAAACCTCTCCGTTTTTGTGACCGTCACAGTTTCTGTCATACATACATGACATTTGGTACAACTGCTCAGGAATTGCTACCTTTGCTGGCTGGTTGCAAATTCAGAGAAACTGTGTTTTTTGGTAGAAAAATCTCTCAATTTGCTACCTCCTGTCTAACGGACTCAGGGGATGCTGGTGTTTTGCCTTGGGCGGGGGCCTTTTGCTCCTGGTCCATGGGTCCCTAAACGGGGGTTTTGTCGGCGCACAGGGTCTGGCAGTGTCCCCCAGCCTGGGCTTAACCAAGGCTACCACCCCCCACCCCCCTGATTTTTCAAATTTCGCCCCTCTTCTGCAGCTAAAAAAAGAAGATTGATGCCTCCAGCCGGTAAATATCTGCCCCATGCTCAGAACCAGACACTTTTGCTCCTGGTCCATGGGTCCCTAAACGGGGGTTTTGTCGGCGCACAGGGTCTGGCAGTGTCCCCCAGCCTGGGCTTAACCAAGGCTACCACCCCCCACCCCCCTGATTTTTCAAATTTCGCCCCTCTTCTGCAGCTAAAAAAAGAAGATTGATGCCTCCAGCCGGTAAATATCTGCCCCATGCTCAGAACCAGACACACACACCCCTGCAATTTGCCCCCCTTCATCATTTTAAACACCTCCAAAGGGAGGGGGCAAAGCTGAGGAGGCAGTGAGGGCAGAGAGAGGGCAGCGGCTACAGCGCAGGCTACTGAGTTTGCTCAGTTCGGTGCATGCTCAGTGCACCCAAAGTAGCAAATCCTGAGAAGTTAAATGTTCCGGTCGCATGCGCCCCCTCGGCCCCACGTGGCCCGCACTGGCCGGCGCCGGGGAATTTCGAAAGTGCGGCACAATCCTCCCCGCCCCCCCCTCCTCCTCCCCCC